TTTTCCCCATTTTTCCCCTTTTTTCCATTTTATTTTCATTTTCCCCCTTTTTTCCCATTTTATTTTCATTTTTCCCCATTTCCCCCATTTCCCCCATTTCCCTCATTTTATTTTCATTTTTTCCCATTTTCCCCCCATTTTCCCCCCTTTTTCCCATTTTATTTTCCTTTTTCCCCATTTCCCCTATTTCTCCCCTTTTTTGCCATTTTATTTTCATTTTTCCCCATTTCCCCCATTTCCCTCATTTTATTTTTATTTTTCCCCATTTAATCACATTTTCTCCCATTTTATTTTCATTTTCCCCCTTTTTTCCCATTTTATTTTCATTTTTCCCCATTTTCCCCCCATTTTTCCCCCTTTTTTGCCATTTTATTTTCATTTTCCCCATTTTCCCCCTTTTTCCCCATTTTATTTTCATTTTCCCGCTTTTTTCCCATTTCATTTTCATTTTTCCCCATTTTCCCCATTTTCTTTTCATTTTTCCCCATTTATTCACATTTTCTCCCATTTTATTTTCATTTTCCCCCTTTTTTCCCATTTCATTTTCATTTTTCCCCATTTTCCCCATTTTATTTTCATTTTCCCCATTTCATTTTCATTTTTCCCCATTTTCCCCATTTTATTTTCATTTTCCCCATTTCATTTTCATTTTTCCCCATTTCCCCCCATTTATTCCACCCCCCATTTCCCCCATTTTTCCCTTTTTTTTGCATTTTCCCCTAGAATTCCCGGTTTTATTTTCATTTTCCCATGGTTTCCCCCCTTTTTTTGCCATTTTATTTTCATTTTTCCCCATTTTCCCCATGAATTCCCGGTTTTATTCCCATTTTCCCGTATTTTCCCCGCGCCCTTTCTCCCCTCCCCGCTAATCCCGGGGTTGTTTTTTTTTGCTCCTTTGTCGATGTTTTTTTCCCGGTTTTTTTCCCGGTTTTTTTCCCGTTTTTCCCGTTTTTTTCCCGTTTTTTTCGGGCCGGCCCCGCCCCCGCCCCGCGGATAAAGCGCGGCCGGAGCGGCGGCGGCGGCGCGGCAGCGGCGGCAGGTAGGACAGCGCCCAATTAATTAGCCCCGATTAATTAGCCCCGATTAATTAGCCCCAATTAGCCCCAAAATATTCCCAAAACCGCCCCAATTAGCCCCGATTAGCCCCAATTAGCCCCAATTAGCCCCAATTAGCCCCGATTAGCCCCAATTAGCCCCAATTAGCCCCAATTAGCCCCGATTAGCCCCAATTAGCCCCAATTAGCCCCAATTAGCGCCAATTAGCCCCAATTAGGCCCAATTAATTAGCCCCAATTAATTAGCCCCAATTAGCCCCAATTAGCCCCGATTAGCCCCAATTAATTAGCCCCAATTAGCCCCGATTAGCCCCAATTAGCCCCAAAATA